TCATGTCCACCAAGTGCATGACAGCGGGCCCAACGAACCTCTACACAGTCCTTCGAACAAAAGCTGCCCACGTGGGACAAGGACTGAGCTCCGAGTGTCCACAGAACACGTGCCTTGGTGTGCGTTGTCATAGAATCCCAGGTCCAAGTGAGTCGAAAATTTGAGGAAAATGAGTCGGGTTAGTGCATGCTGTTCTGGGATGAACCACATATGTGGCTGTGCCCCGCTTGATCATGACACAGCCGGGAGGCTAGTTAGAATCGAACGCCAGTCCAACAGGGTTCGATGTATCATCTCGTGTGTCATTCGCTTCTTTTTACGTAGCTTTGGAATTAGTCTTTTCCCACTGTTGCTATTATTGTTGTGGTGAGGCGTGTCAGGATACCTGGCTTAGAATGGTAACTGATCTATCGAACCAAAGCGAACATGGTCCAGTCCTGAATCACTCCACCCGACATCAGGATAAAAAGAAAACTGAGGATCCGGGAGCATAACTGCGAGCGGCTGGCAATAAGCCTCGACGGCAAAGTAAATTGAATAATGGTGGTCAGTGCAGCTGTCAGATGAGTTGTGATAAAACCACCTGATTCGCAATTTTCGTTGATTAGACGTTAGTATCGTAGAGGACAAGGAACAAGTAATCTAAGATATAGCTCTAAATCGCTGAACCGGAGGAGAGCCTGATAAGCGCGCATTGTGAACTGACAGTCACCAGTTTGTACGCCTGCAAGTAAGACACCTGACCTGAAACACATAGACGCACAAACGTGATCGCATAAAGAAACTGACAAGTGATGTGAAATTGACCCAAAACTCGTAACGTTCATTGTAAACAATTCATTGGAGCAATCGCAAGCATCGATTCACCAAAGCGCAAGATAAGTGTGCGCATGCAATCAGGCTAGTCAACTGAGCCGCCTCAAGGTCGGTAACGACCAGCTGAGCGTTCGCACATATGTAGACAAGGGTGACTGACTGCCTGACGCGCACACAACCCCGATCAAGCGTGTGTGCACAGCAGTGCGTCGAAGCCCGCAGTCAGTGGTTCAAGAAAAGATTGAATGGATGTCACAAAATCTGTGGACTTCCAGACACAAGCTTCGAGGATTAGGCACAGGCGGTGGCCGTACACTGTTTCAGGTCATTCGTTCGCAGCCAATGACTGATGTGACATCGGAGTTCGAACCTCCTTAGAAAATCTGTTGCCGGATGTTTAGAAGCAACGATTGAATGTAATGCAGCAGATTGAAGCGGGTGGCACGTAACATGTTTACCCGCTTCAGAGGTACAGCTCCAGGATTGATTTCGAGTACAACCGGAGCAACATGTTTCAATCCACTCATGCACAACGGGAACAAAATCGGACACTGAGAAAAGCTTTCGTTTGGGAAACCAAACGGAAGAGTGGCGTTCTCACACAGGAGACTGTGGATCCGAAGCGTGGTTGCTCCAAAAGTGGCGAAATATCACGAGAGCATTGCAGCGTAAATACGCGCCTCAATAATTGGACCGGCGAACCTGTGACGACAGCGGAGAGTGAAGCGATGCGGTGGTCTGTGGGCCTCGCCGAGGTTACACATTGTTGCGGAGTTCACAAAGCTCTGCACAGATCATCTGAGTGTGCCTCAGCAATAATGTCACCGCACAAACTGCGCAAGTCACAGCTCAGCTTTGCTCAAGGATACCGCTGCTATGTGTCAACGAAAACCGCGACGACTTTACCTGACCTATCCCCAATGACAGTGCTGTGCCTAAGGTCCTGAACCACACTGACCTGAACTTTTCCTCGATCCATTGCCACTACATAGCAACTCATGCGCCTTATCAACATCCACTTTTTCCACAGGTTATGTATTATGTTGCCAAACTATTGAGACATAAACACGAAGGTGTAGAGGGCATGCTCGACATTGGCTCAGTTGGTAAATAAACTCTTTCTATCGGCCAGTCTTTATTTTCTGGGTCCAGGTGCAGTCATTCGAGGTAACGCGTTTCGTTTTCAGTCTCAGCCCGCGTGTACACACGTCTGGTGATTAGGTCCACAGAGAAGAAAACAACTGGTTACTCTGTGTGTGGGACAATCTATGGGAAAAGTATTTCGTTCGTGCAGAATAGGATTCCAAACAACTAGTAAGTTTTATAACATTAATATACGTCCGAGCATCGATGTTAAGCACATCTGGTAGCTGCAATAATTCTGAATACCTGCAGCTAGGACTGGAAGTTGTAATGTTGACTGGCTCTCAGAGCTAAGCAATTTGATTGCAGACATTTCGGTCCCAAACAAAGTGAAATCTTTAGCCCGTAATATTAGGTACTTGGTTAGCAGATAATGGACCTCGCGTAAACCCAGACACGGATGCCATCAGTTACGGCACTGTCCTTCATACGTAATTCAAGCCAAGCTTCATCCGGATTGGCTGCCTGTTTCGCCCCTTCGGGATATACGAGCAGCACATGTTCGCTGACGTGAGGCTTACTGCGACGTAGGATAGCTCCTTAAAAATTTATGGGCGCAATAGTCATGTTGCCTACAGAACATGGCTACAACGGCTGTTTCGTTCGTTGTTCAGTCGCTGGTCTGTGTCTGTTCCAATCACGATCCCCAATCCGTCTAATCTGTTTCGTTCTCATATGTTGGCGTACAGGATCAAGGTCAATGCGCAGGCTTATTGAATGCTCTGTTGAAAACCGAGCTTCTAGGAATTCTATGGTATCTCTAGAGTCTTAGTTCGAGTCCAATCAAAGTAGTGTTCTTCTCCTCCGACGTGAAAAGATTGAAGATGACTTGTAATGGCATCTGCAGGCACTTTTGTGCTCCTGTATTCTCGTAGTCAATTTCCGCCCTGTTTGGACCACACATTTTCTCACAATTTTGACACATAATCCTATACGCAAATTTTCGTCGCTCATTTTCCCTATTGTTTAGACAAAGTTCCTTTCAGATACCAACTAGATTGACGGCGGAACGTATGCAATCAAATTGCTTAGCTCAAAGAATCAATTAATCTCAAGTTCGGTAATCATTCAATATGGAATTTTAGAGGGCCAAAAAACGCAGTCCCACTCGATTCGACAGTTGCGTGGGTGGCTCAATCCAATTCAGTTAAACAACCTTACCGTGAATCCATCTGCCATAACCCGCGACACTAAGATGATAACAGTGATTGACAACAGTGTGGAGACGTAAAGTGAGACAGAAAGGAAGGAACCGGGAAGAAGGTTTATCGGCCCAGCTTGGCAACAGCTAGATGCAACGGACAAGCACATTTAGAAGTGACATGTTGGATAAATTTCCAAACTACGGATGTGGCATCCTTATCCGTTAAGATGACAAGTACCAGTTTGATCGAGCTGGTAAGTCGAATTCTTGCTCGCTCTCGCTCGTGTCACTGTCTGACCACCTCGATAGACGTGGTCAGGTAGTCAGAAGGTATTTGCAAAAAATACGCACTAACCAACGTAAGCGGCTTGAATTCAAGAAAAACGCCGGCGTAGATCATAGATGGACTTCAGTAACGTGTATTTTATGGTCCCCCTAGACATGAAGCGATAAGACTGCAAATACCGTTGAGAAAAGGAGGTCGGGTTTAATGTGAAGTGGTCGCGTTTCCGATCCATACGGTGGTACTGACTTTACTGCTCTTGACTGTTACAATGATATCCCTAGACGAATGATACCTTGGAAACAGACGGCCTCCTACATGCGTCAGTAGCGACAGAAGGATAGCATCGCTAATGACAGTTAGTCTATTAGCACTCGTGCAAAGAGATCACGAACCGTATAGCAAAAGCTCGGGGCGCTTTTATTAACCTTCGCCACTTATGGCGGCGGCGCGACATCACTCTCGCTCTAAAGGCTAGAGTGTACAATGCAGCGGTACGTCCGACCCTACTATACGGCTGTGAAACCTGGCCCCTTAAAGCAACGGACCTGAAGAGGCTAGTTACGTTCGACCACCGGTGCCTTCGTAATTTAGCTCACATCTGGTGGGAACACCGCGTGAGCAACGAGCGTGTTCGACGCCTTGTTTATGGCACAGGAAAAGGAAACGAACCGCTCAGCACCGTCATTTCACGCACCAGACTCCGATGGCTCGGCCACCTGTTACGCATGCCAGCCCACCGACTCCCGCGAAGTGTGTTGTTTGCGCGCCGGGGGTGTGGATGGAAGAAGAGGAGGGGTGGCCAAGCGATGACTTGGTCCAAAGGAATGAAGGCCCTCACTTCTGTGCTGGCCTCGGTTGGGGTCCGAAAGACGATGAACACGTTTGGTTGGACACTTGCTGACATGGCAAGGAGCCGACCTCAGTGGCGTTCGTGCTGTGAGTTTCTTTGTCCCACCCCATCCCTCTTAGCCTCCCCCCCTCGAACCACGATTTCATTATTTAGCCTTATATGATTTTGCGTAGTAATTTTTTTATGTATGCACAATAGCCGGCTGGTAGCTTACCGAAACGATGCCCATCCGTTACCGGTAGCTCAGCCGGCTTGCACCAGTTGCATTTTCTTCTCCTTTTTCAATGTATTGCGGCACAGTAGCTGAGGTGTTCCCCACCTCCGGCTAACGTGTATGATGATGATGATGACTCGTGCAAAGTCAGGTGAAGGTGTATGCTCTTGAGACACAAATCTTCGACTGATCGTAGTTGTGACTATTAAATGCAAGCACAACTAAAAAACAAGCTTCACTCTTAAAGTTTGCAGAAGTCAATCTCGAAGAGGAGTTTCAGTGGAACTGTGCATTCGCGCGAATGAGCTTCCGTGAAGGTCAGGGAGTCCAACTGAGAAGTATAGGATAGAAATGCAGAGCAAAACCCAAACATTGAAAGACTTGGGCAACGGCTGATGTCACATGTGCTTACTGCTCCATTAAAGTGGCGTTCAATATCAAGAATACCGGAAAGTGCTACCACCTCAAAACGTTTTGCAACAAAGCGACATAGATTAAGAAAAAGGGTAGTTTGACGGCGGGCAACAGCTAGTAGGGGACATCTCACCTTCATTATGACTGACTCTGCGGCGAATATCTTTCGATTCGGGGTTGAGATGCTCCAAATACGTGGTAGGGCCTGGAAACAAGCGGACAGGGATACAGATGAGCTAGCAATTGATCTGCCTAGAGCATGTAGCACCACAAGCACCGGGTAGAGAAGTGAAGAGAGACAAACAGTACACTAGGAATCGCTTGCTGAGAATAAACTAGCTATAAAGGAATGCAAGCGAGTGAACCAATTATGAGGAGAAAACAGTAACTGCGATACATCTTCGCATGTGGTCCGAACCAAATGGTGACAAATGGGTAAAATATGTCAGCCAACCGCTACGGTGGGTCTTATGTGTAGAGACTGATCGTTTTGACTCGATGAGTGTCTATGGCGAGGATGCGAACAATGTAGACGTGATACGCGGAAGTGGTCGCTTACCCTGGTCGTTGCGATTGGCATTGAGGAGACTATTTGCCATGTTTCGACGACATTCTTCCAATGAAGCACCGGCGACTTTAGAGTTGGCGGGTAGCATGGGTGCACCGGAGGTAGCTGAGGACACAGACAGCCCACCACCACCATTGGCACTACCAGTCGGGTTGAAGGCAGCATTCACTCGGGGTAAATTCGGAGAAGAGAGTAAATGCGTGTTGACGATAGAGTCCACGACACTACCACTACTGCTACTATTGCTACCACCGCTGTGGATATTGCTTCCGCCGGGACAATTAGCATTGCCAACCATATTGGCGCCACTACGGATAGGGGTGGGGGTGAGGAGGCTGGACGGGGGAACAACGATTGAGCTGGACAATTCCGATGATTGAAAGAAAGCGGAATTGTTGGCTGCAGAAGTGGTGGTTAATGTGTTGGTTCTACCTGCACCGACAAGAAGTTCATGCGTTCCGGTTGCTTGAGCATAGGCAGCGTAGGAGCGGAATCGGTTCGCATCTTCAACCAGGGAAGGATAAGGATGTCCATTGGGAGTGTACATGTCTGGATCGGCTATAAAAGAGGACAGGGTGTGAATAAACCATAAAGACGCGCACCGTAAAAATCGGAACACAATGATAGAAGATGGAAAAGTAGGGTTAGTCCCTACAGGAAAAGGCATAAAGGAGACTATGGTAGTAAAGCGTGGGAAAAGTAAAAGACCTGAAGTGTGGAAAGCGACCTCGGTTCATTTAGGTTGACGAACTAAGATCCAAATCATGAAGCGCAGTGCATGCACTGCCGCGACAACAAAGGGTAAATGGTGCGAAATGAAGTAATGAGATACTAGGAAAAAGGAAAACACGACGGTCCGATAGAAAGACTAAAATAACGATAAGGGAGAATGAATGAATGAGACGACCCCAATGGCTTTGTCAGTGAATCGTAAGGTCTCCAAAAGAAACCAATCTGGCTACCCTACAACACCACATGCCGTCGCGGATGGTCAGTATGCGATACAAATCAATGAGATGCAGTTTCCAAGAGCAATGGTATGCCGAAATCGGCAGGCGATGGGTGAGACTGCGATTTGCTGCGATATACTAAGTGCTCAACCTGCGGTGATCGCTAATAGGTCAGTTTGCCCAGGTTGCATTTTGCGACGGAGTGCTCAGAGTAAGAAAATTAATTTCCGCTTGAGAGAAGGACATGGACCAGCACGCATCGGCACAAACACAGCCACTGTAGATTTAGGTGTGGTTGTAACGGATTGCACTGTTAAATACATGAATGCGCATCCAGATGCGTAGGATAGATGAAAAACCAAAAAAGGTAAATTGGATGATTGTCCCTTGCTCGCTAACAAATCAAATTGCGAAGGTACGAACCGTGAGTGGTGGGTAGCGAAGAAAAACAATGGGTGCTCGATTTTGACCATTAGGTGGCTGTGTAAACGGGGACTTCCACACAAGCCAAATTCGCGAAGGATTCCTCTGCGGAAATCAGAATATTTACACCGAATGTGTCACTGAGCATTCGGAACACAGTCAAACGAAGGCTGCAAGCCACAAAAAATCGGAAAAAATGGGTGTCACGGGAGGGGAAGTATGAATGTCAGAGGGGAGGACGGAAGGATAGAAACACGGTGTACACATGTCAGTAGTTCAGAGAACCAGAGTACCAATACAACAGACTCCACTGCCAACACTGAAACATAGCAAACTCACACTTTACAGCACCCAATAGTTCGGTGATACCATTGCCAGAAGCAGTCAGGTATGTAGTCGCGTGGTTGGTCGAAATACCTGTCTGATCGGACAAAGAAACACCCGAAAGATGAGTGGGAAGTCGCAACCTTGGAGAATTGGTGGATTGAACCGTCGTAGTTGCGTTGGACCACGGCGATGGAGAATTCGATACAACAGCGGTTAATGGATACCTCGACTGTGACGGTTGGTTTCGCATCTCGAATCCAGCAATTAGGGTGGAAAGTGCTGTGCCAGTCGAACTGATGGGAGGGAGAATTGCGCTAGCAAGCTGTGGAAGTGCTACCGTGACCGATTGAGAATTTGTGGCTGGAAGAGGCGCTCGTGACAAGTGAGCGTTACTATCGTCCGGTTCGATCCCCGGTGAAATAGCCTCCAATATTGGTGCTGAGCTATTCGCAGAGTCCAGCATGGGAGGAGATGGATACGAGTTACTTGATGTGTGGTTCGTGGAGGCCCGCGACATTATCACCGGGTAGTCGCTTGGCACTAACAAATACAACTGTCGAGTTGTCCCATCGGGAGATGAACCGAGTAAGGTTTGCTGAAAGGGTGCAGAGAAGCGGATGAAGTTAGGATGGAAATGGAAATTGGTTGTTCCAAACAAAATGAAAACATGGTGAGGGGAGATACTAAGCCTCAAAAACGAGAACGAATTACATGGAACTTAACTGTGGTGTCAAGTATGCAAATACCTAAAAGTTGAGTCGTATGCAGGCGCAACATGATCTGGGGTAAATAACCGGGAAGCCGGGTTGAGCAGTGATTGAAAGGTATTGGAGTATAGTTCGACAAAAGAATGGTCCACGAGTCGATGCATGAGACTGGGACAAGAAAAGCCATGGAAAAGCAGACGGAGATGGGGAGAACGACAGGGGGACTCACCCGCGCAGCCGAGGTCATAAACTCGCTACTCGCCATGAGTTGTTGTAAATCAGAGGAACTGAGAATTGAGCCGGGAGCTGGTTGAAGTGATATGAAAGCAGTGGGCGGTGATGAAACGGATTCCGGACCCTCAGTGTCACAGCCACCAGTTTCCGCGGGAGGTGTCGATTCGGTTGATTCAGTGGCCTGGCCAGTACTGGGTGCCGTGGCTTGCAGGCACGGATTAAGAGTGACGAGGGTAGAAACGGAATTGGGAGTTAATTGGTTAAGAGAAGTATCACGAATTTCTTCAGTGCATGAGCTCCCGAGACCAGAATCTGGAGTCACGGGAAACAGTGCCGAATTAAGAGGCAATTCGAGAGGCGTTGAGGATGCAGAACGCTGCTTCTGAGTTTCACGAAAGAATGCCGCCAGACCTGAAAGACATATAGAAAAGCAGAAACTGGAAGCAATGTGGTAGAAACATGAACCAACAAGAATCACGAAAAATTCGGTAGATCAAATCACCAATTGCAATGTCGATAGGGTAAGCTTCACAGTGCCACGGGGAGAGAAAAAGCAGTGTCACACGTATACGGGGTAGCCCAAGCCATTAGCGTGTTCCGATAAAGGATAACGTCTGTGGAAGTAACACATGCGAATGACGTGGGATGGCTGGCATGATCAGCGGACAAAGTACTGGTATTCGTGTAGTAGTAAGTTGCGCAATGTGAAGCCACCTATCAGGCAACGGGGAATGCAGTAAGATGCGACATCACAAACGATGGCACTCCGATTTCAGTTAATTAACCGGAATTATCGTTTGCAGTAGGAGTGTTCGCTGGTGTCCTAAGTGAGAGTGAACGGTGTGGAATGTTCAAATCAATCAGTGGCTCTTGATACAGACAATCGCAATTGAGCTAGTAGATCGAAATGTAGTCTCCAAACCTGTTAGCTAAGAGTGATAAGGAACGTTGTCGTTCATGCGAGGAAGCACTCAAGTGGTGGCTTGTTTTCACTTCAACCAAGAGAGCGCCGCCATACAAGTTTTCAGCAATGCAGTAGAGCTAACAGCAGTCACTGAGCTATTGGTGACAAGAGGTGGACTAAGATCTGACAAATTCACCTGTTGTGAAGTTAAAAAAACGCTAATAAGAGCTATACTTAAAACCAAGAAGCGAAGTGCGTCTTAGAAGGAAAAAAAAGATAGGAGTGGAAGAAGCGACTGCATCACATGCCATGGTACTATTAAACCGATAGAAAGGAACATGTCATTCTGAGTACCGGACATAAATTCGGCGACTAGCGGCCGTTCGCAGCACACTAAAGTAACTAAGTAAATCGTCAAGTCTACGCCGTAACGGCAGTTCGTTGCCACGCGACAACCATCAGTCGCGTGAGGGCTAAGTGTACCGCGAGGACCCCATCCATAGGCGGATTCGAACCGGTAACCTCATGGTTGCAAACCAAGCGCGCAGACCACTCGGTCACCGGGTCACTCGAAACACACTGAAGTGATACGATATGCATAAGCAGAACGATTGATAAACTAAGAGTTGAATATCAGCCTACAGCAATCTACTCCCAAATCGGACAACTCTCTCAACAATCTGAGCATTTATGTGAACCTAGCGTAATGTGTCCCTAGTGAGTCATAATGGGTGATCACATTCACTTTGTTCTGCACAGCACCACGTGCCGAGAATCACATAAGTCGAGTGATTAGAAGGTCATTTGGAGTATTCGTTGTGTGATTGGGTTGCGGCGCGCAATCTTGATGTGGACCGTGATTCGTATGGAAGCGAGCCTTGACCAACTCGGTCACTAGGACCGTAGCTAAAACGTTTGGAAATTAGATGTTGCCCGCACGAAAAGTAACACCACAACGGTTCGGGGCTTGATGAGAACAAACAAGGTCAAAACACGTAGCGGAGTGCAGTGTTTTCGGGCGAACAACACACAATTTCCATACACCTTGTCCGAGTGTTACCAGACGGAAGGTGCTAGCATACAATAAGCTAAAGCCTTAGTAATTAATCTACATGTGCAAAGTAGGAAAGGAAACTATACGCGACGTGTTCAGGAGTGAGTTCGATTTAAACGAACACTGCACAGCGCGGGGAAAAACTAGACTCACCACAACTCAATGTTCGCTGAACGTCGATGACAGTCGGGGTGACCGGAGTGGACCCGTTAGTTTGTGTGTGTGGCGATGAGGAAGAGATAGTTCGAAATACCAACGGTGGGGATCCATCTGGATTGGTTTCGACTGCATTCGGTTCCACTGTCAATGTAATCAAATTAGTCGGTGCCAGTGTGGAGTCTGAGGCATCGGTAGAATGGGCCGCATTGCTGCTTTCATTGGCGGACACAGCACGAGCAAGCCATTCTTTTTCAAACATACTGCTGGCGGTAGCTAAGGTAACCAAACCAGAAGGTTCTGAATTCTCGGGCACAGGAGTAGTCGTCGTGCTAGGAACAGACAGGGTTGCTGCCGCCATCGCAGCCACAGGACCTAACTGACTGGGGGTTAGAAACGAGATGATAGATGACGTGGGAACGGATGAAGGAGTGGAGATGAGCGGTGCAATGGAGGAGGAGGAGGAAGCATCTGTGTCATTTGCTGAGACGCTGCGGGTACAAACAATACGAATGTCACTGTCCGCATTGCCGTTGATAACGGGCAAATGACCAGAGGCGGCTGTGGAGGTTAACACGGCACCATTTGTATCACGGTTGTTAGTATTGGCTATGGTTCGCAGGAGACGTGGCAATACACTCATAGCGTTCGCACCCGAGTGAGCAGCAAGACCAACCTCGTTCGGAGAACACTGCCGAGGGATTTTGAGCTGGAAATCAAAAACAAGTGATAAAAATGTTAACACGAGTGAGATGAGCACATAGGAAAACAAGTGACATTAGTGCTCATCGCAGAGGTAGTTCCCTTGGAAAAGAATAATCATAATGAGAAAAAAAACAACAGCAGCGCGTAGGCTGTTTGTGTTGCTGCTCTTGTGTCATTCGGTCATAAAATAAGTGACCTTAGTGACGGGGAACAAATGAGAAAGGCGAAGAAATTGGACTCTGGGGATCGAAGTGGATATAGTTTGCGAAAAAAGCGTGGTCACAGACAATTAGCATCGTTTGGAACTGAAGTGGGGCCTCACCAACCAATCTCACAACACAGCATAAAGTTGATTGATTTGTTCTCGAATTAACTTATCACTGAGACCACAAACAATAACAGAACTATTGCGCTGACAGAGAAACTGTGACAATACCGAAGTGTAGCCCAGTGAGAATCAGAACAACGACCGAGTCGATCACAATCTGACACTTGTATAAAAGGGTGGATCGATTCATAGCTTCGCTATTTCATTGGCTGATAAGTATTTCCAGCTGTGAGCCGTCAGTTAACTTTTGTTGGTTTGTTACTGTCCCGGTAGTCCATCTTAATCATTGCTTATGGTAACTGTCTGTGGTATTCGCATCACACCGAACCAATAATGAGCAGTCTGCACAACGCAAATGTCGTCAACTCCGGCGTACTAGAGATGGTGTAATCAGTGTCTAGCTGGATCGATTTCTTTCGGGTCCGCATGCTACTTGTTCACCTGATTTATCAGTTACCATAACAGTACAAGAAAGTGATGACGGCACTGCTCAGACACTACGCACGTGCCATGCACAGCGAGGGAATAAGCGTGGAGGAGGGGACACTAGCCATCCACTGTGGTGATAGATGATCCATCATCATCATCATTCTCTAGCGCATCAGTGGCAGCAGTAAAACCTCAGTAATCTCAACTGACGTTAAGCGGACACAAAACCACGACGACTGGCAATCAGGGCTGATACGGAGGGTGGGAGAAGAGAAAGATAGTATATGGCCTAAGTGCCCCAAGCAAATATTTCAGAGGTAAGGCGCCTACATCCCATCAGAATCACAAGATAGCGAATTACTGACCATCGTGCGATGTCATATGGCGATAAACAACCTCTTGACAACTGTCACTGCTCGGCGCCAAAACTAATCAGATGCCCCAGATAACTTGACATCACATAAATGTAAAATAGGTAATCCGAGAGGTTTTGACGTCATCTCTGATAATCTATGAAGAAGTGTTACCAAACAGAATCACGAAGTTGTCATGTAAACTCATCGCAGACGGACCGTAATGTGTGGCCACGACACAATAGATCCACCTTTTCCAGTATACTTGTGGTAGTATATTGGCAGAACTGAGAGACGGTTGTCTACAAGAAGCCGAATGTCCCGCTCAATGTGGTTGAACATAGCCATTAAGTACCTATTAGTTCGACTGCTCTGTGTACCAGAAATTACACCTGTTTACCAAGATTTCAGCGATTTCATGACCAACGTGCATCGTGTGGAGACAAATGAATTTCGTGAGTCTTTCTCTAAGCAGAATGCAGATGGGACATATAAACTCTGTCATAGCTTCACCAGTGAACCCCACAGGTTTCACATTGTGTAGACATGAAAAGAAGGAAATAACTAAAGTAGGATGAATCAGTTGGTATATGGTCTTAACCGTGGACTCGTAACAGTGCGGTCGCTAGTTCTAAAGTCTAAGGGGAAAATGGTACGCCTACGGTTGAGGACTCCCCAGAAGGATGAAACGGCCGTACAGTGCTTTTCCGGGAGTGTGATGGCCGACTGGCTGAGCCAAGATGTGATAAATTCCCATCCATACCATTCGAATCCCCCTACTACTTCGTTGAAATCAATACGCAGCCCAAACTGCTTATAATGGCACAAGTTAATTGTCGGCTTAAGTTTGGTAGGATCGTTGCTCGGCGAGGGGGCCAACCTACACCCCCGCACGGCAGTAATCTGCAGGTCAGTGGATAATAAGCGGTGCTATAACACATTTAATAAACTAGGCACAAGGGTGGTTACCGTCCCCTGTAACTAAGTGGTTTTCACTACAGACTGGCAACAGTCTAGTTGCGGATTCGAGCCTTAAAGGAACGCGCACGGTTGATGAATGCCGAGAGGATGAAACAACCGTTCCGTGCTTTTCTGGAAGCGTAATCGCTGAGTGTAATTGCGGTGAAGTTCTACCGGCACCGTTAAAATATCGTCAAATGAAAGAACAGGAGTCTGCAGCGAAGAAGTGCATGCAGGAACACAATTGACATCGGGACTGCGCTAGATGCTGTATGACAGCCAAACTTCGAGATGGCAGACAGTGAAGACTACGTTCATTAGATCGACAAGCCCCAACTCGAATGTTCAAATCATTGGCTATGGGGTAACTTTGTGTACTCAAATTGCAACACGCAAATAAAATTTGGATCAGGATTCACTGAAGTAAATCTCAGTCATTCTGAAGATAAACCTTGGTTGCTTTCAAACCTCAAAGTGCTACACCTCTAATTCGAATGTTCGTCACCATCAGTCTTTTCAGACATTATTCCCACGTTATCGACAAGCACTAGGGCGGCATTACTAAATGTGCTCTGTAATCGAGAACCACACACACACACACACACACACACACACAGATGGTCGGTAGGTAGCCCTAGCCAACGCGAGCTGTTCCAGTTGGTAAGAAGTACCAAAGACATGAGCAGTACGCAGTATGGACGCTTCACTGCCGCGCAACCACCACCGATCGTACGTGGGCTAGGATACTGCGAGGATCGCCCTGCCCCTACGCAGGCTCGAACGAACGCCGGTACCGACGGATCTATAGCTCATCCTAGTGAACAGGATTCAGTGCTTCGCTAGAAACAAAGAGTATAAACTGCGCGCATCGCTGGTTAAAGACGACCACGATGCGCAGAGTCCGTGTTAACGATCCACACACGCTGGACATAATGCTCAGTGTTCCCATATAGCTGATGGGATGACCCGAAACCCCACGGACCACAACACTACTTGCAGTGACCCCTTTAATGAGTTAGCAGACAAAGTTGAATGGCTAGGTAAGTTTAAGTGAGATTGCCGACCACCAGGACTAGCAGTTGGGCAATGGCGAAGACACGCGGTATGTCAGTAAAGCAGTAGTGTTCTGCACTTTGGTGAGAATCGCATATCGGAATGAACAGTATTACCTGTCAGGCTGTTTTATGAAAGGGCTGGGTTTAGTGCTAGGTCATATTTACGACTTGGATTCTAAGGTTAACAGACAATAATGCCTAACAACCTCGGTTCCTGAAAATAAAGCCAAAATAGAATAATACATGAGAAAATAGATCGCAAAGTTTACGAGAAAGGGTTAAACAAGATAGCCCTGACACATCCCTGTCATCACGGTATACTAAAAAGACAGATTCTCGTGGATCTAACATGGTACAGAAGTTGCAGTGCAGTGAGTTAGGATATAAACAAATTTATAGGTAGAAATTCATCACATCTAGACTCACTCAGACAGCCGTCACACGCCCGGAAAAGCATTGTACGCGCGTTTCATCCTTTCGGGAATCGTCAGCACTGTGCATTCCATCGGACCCTGCGGGTTCGAGCCCTACCAGGGTCCGATGGAATGCGCAGTGCTGACGATTCCCGAAAGGATGAAACGCGCGTACAATGCTTTTCCGGGCGTGTGACGGCTGTCTGAGTGAATCTAGATGTGATGAATTTCTACCTATAACATTCAACCCCCTACTACTCTTTTATAAACAAATTTGTTCGGACACTCTTTAGGAGGTGGTAACGCCACACGGATATGGCTAACCGTAACAAGGTCAGCTGCTAAATCAAAGAAGGTGGTTATTGAGAGATGCGTGATCTGTGAACTTATCAGCCCCGAATTACGGCACCGCTCCAATGTTCTGTAAACTGAATCAACCGTAGGCATCAATAACCAGTGGTCACCTCGCGTGACGCACACCGTATCTTTCCCCGTTGTTGTTGTTGTCTCAGTCCTAGCCGTGTACTTTACAGTTAACAGTGAGCTGAGCTGTAAACAGTTTTGTTTTGATTTTGGCGAGAACCAATTTGTCGACTGCTAGTCACGTGTTTGACCCAGACAAGGCGTTACGTGTATCGGATTGTTTCGCTCTTTGTCAAGCACTCCGCCCCAATGAAGAACAGCGGTGCATGGTAAGCGGTTTTTGAGGAATAACGAGACTGCTGGGCACTGTGAGGTGACAGGACGTATGTGGCTAAACTTCAACAACAGTACAATCACTCCTGTATGGGGCTTGTGAGTGGGATAATAACGACTGGCGTTGACAGTAATGTAGTTTTGGACACCAGTCTTATGGTATGCAGTAGACCGGTGGAACTTATGGAAGTACGGGGAGGGGTGGGGCGACACAGAAGGAGACAGTTATGGGCGTTCATCATCAAAAGCAACATCATTACATCAGCCATTTCTACTGTTGTTTTGTTACTAGGAAACCATACGGGTTATACTCATGAAGGATGATAAGAAGAAGAATGAGAGTGGAACGGTGGAAAACCGTGGGAATTTATAAAAAAAAACATTCAGGGCCAGAGTGCCTACACAACATCGTGATATTTAGCTGACTGATGCGCGAGGATAAAACGTCAGTCCGTTCTATAATCAGCCTCATTGCACAGGCAATTCAACATCATGCCAATCTTAAATAAGCAGCTGGGTTAGGAAACGATAGAGAACGAGCCACTGTTACAGGTTGCTAGTCATGTCCTGTAATATCCCGGAACACTCACAAAATGGGTCGTGTGAACTCACGCCAAGCAGGTGAGATAGATCGACGGCACCCAGTTTAGTCGGTAGCGGATTCGTTTCGCGCTACCAGTTCAAAGATTAGCCTCCTCAAGTGCAGGAAAGCAGTTAAGACATACAGCAGAATACTTTGACTCGGGCCTGACTAAAAAGTAGCGGGAAAC